CCTGATTTACAGCATCCGTAGTGCTTTCAGGTTTTTATTTTTTATAACATTGAGGTGTGTCTTTGAGATAGTAAATTTATTTTCTCTTTTAACAGCCCTTTGTCTAATCCAAATACTTCACGTATTTATCTCATAACATTGGACTATAAAACATTAATTCTTCTAATATCAGTGCCATCTACACTGAAGCCACTCTTGATAACACAGTTAGAGATATTTTTGTATTGTATTAAATGCTAGGGCAATTAAAATAAACTAACAAATCACCTGATGAAAAATGATGCTCGTATTTACAACCTGCTCTGTTTATTACATGAACATTAGTTCATTTTATTTCATTACACAAATGCTTTGATACTTTTAAAATGGAGGTTCCATGTACTTTTTTCTTCTGTTTACTTTTTATACATAAATATGTGTATTCAAGAAATAAACATTCCTATAGATGTTGGTGTTTTTGTTAAATCGTTGACACTCTTCATAAAATAGATTAATTTGTTAAGCATGTTCTGTTGTGTAATGATTGAAATAACTTGTGCTTGTTTTAAATATCTTCTGGTTGAAAATTGAATCAGACAGTTTAGAAATTTCACTAATTGCTAAAGAAAATTAGATATTTTTAATCCAATTGTCCTTTGAAGTTTACCCATTGACTAGACTACATAATCGTATCAGTTATTGTTGACACAAAGGAACAAACAACAGTTTCACATTTGCAGATTCAGTAAGAAGCTAGACATGAAGTAGATCTTTCATGTGAAATTGCTGAGTAAGGGTAAAGTTTATTTTGCACTGATGAAGTGATCTTCCTTAATCCTCAAAGGGCTATAACAATAAAAATAGAAAATTGCTAGAAATGTTCAGCAGTTTAAACGGCATCTGCACAGAGATGAACAAAGTTCCAGGTTGACTTGTAATTTGACTTCACTCTGGTAACCTTTCATGCAGACTTAATACAGTCAGTCATTCTGTGATGGAGCTGAGAATTTGACATTTCATATGCATTTTACTCATGAACCTGACTGATCAAATAGCCTTCTATTCCATGAGTGCAAAATACAAAAATCTATTTTTTTTTTGCTATCAGGACCCAGTTTTATTTACTGGTACCGTAAGAAAGAATCTGGATCCCTTTGATGAGCACAGTGATGAAGCACTATGGAATACATTGGAAGAGGTAAGAAGTGCATTGGAAAATCATCCTGTGCTTTGCAAACAGAGTGTTTTTAAATACATGGTTTGCTTTGACATGTTCTTGGTTCATGCACATTATTATATACACTACCAGTCAATTTTGTGGAGAACGTTTGAAAGCTGCCTTCGTTTTGGATGCTGAACAGCCTCCGGCTAGGACAACAAGTAATATTTGAAAGGGCTGCTACGGAAAGCCATCACAAAGTTTCATAAACTAAGAGCATGAATCTGGAACCAGGAGTCGCAGCAATGTACGTCTTTTTCCACCCTATTACCACATAAATCTCTCTCTCCCTTTTTCTTCCTCACCTTCTGTCATTTCCAAAGATAGGGAATAATATGGCCTTGCACTGTTTGCAAACGCAAATGCATCAAAGTAGAAAGACATTTTATGTCACTGAATTGAGGTCCTGTAAAAAGATTCCTGTTAGTAACTCATCTCAAGATTTTAAAACTCTCAGTATTTCGAGTTGTTCTTGAATGTAGAATTGGAGAACGTCACATTGAATCCTATCTAAGAGTATTGATTCTAGCAATTTGTCCATTCCTATCAGGCCTATTCCTTGCACCCTTTTTCGATTAAGGAACATCTGCAAACCCCCAGTTCTCTGGTACCTCGCATGCATCTACTGAGGATTGGAAATTGATCCTCAGAACATTCACTATTTTCTCCCTGCCTTTCTTTTAGCCCTAAAAATAATTCATCCAGCCATGGTGGTTTTTCCACTTTAAAGGAGGTCAGTCCCTTCACTACTTCCCTTCTCATTGTGCTTGTTTTATCGAATATTTCACATTCCTCTCGTTTAACTAGAATCATAGAATTTTACAGTACATAAAGAGGCCATTCAACCCATCATATCTGACTCCCAAAATAGCTACCCAGCTAGTTCCAATTCCAGCATTATCTCTGTAGCTGTTTAACTTCATCACTTTCCAATACATATCCTGCTCTCTTTTGAAACTTCCTATGAAATCCGTCTCCACCACTCTCCCAGGGAGTCTATTCCAAATCCTAACAACTCTCTTGAGTTTCTTCTCATCTCACTCCCAGCTTGCTTGCTGGCAATCTTGAAATTGTGATCCCTAGTTACTTACATAACAACCAGTGGAAACAGAATATACTTCTTTACCCTGTCAAAATTGTTCATGATTTTGAACACCTCAACAAGGTCACCCCTTAATCATATCAACTCCAAGGAGAATAAACCCAATCCCTCTCATCTTTCCTTGTTTCTAAAATCCTTCATTCCTTCATTCCTGGTATAATTCCAGTAAATCTCCTTTGGACTCTGTCTGAACTTCAATATATTTCCTTAAATAAGACACTCAGAACTGAACAGAATACTCCAAACGTGGTCTAACCAATGATTTACGGAGGTCAAGTATCTCTTCCTTACTTTTGTACTTTATGCCTCTATTTATAAACCCAAGGATCTTGTAAGCCGCCTTAACAACTGTTTTGACTCGCCTGGCCACCTTCAGAGAATGATGCATGTGAACCCTGAGGTCCTTGTGCTCCTGTACTCCCCTCAAAGTTGTACCATTGAGCCTGTATTGTCTCTTCATGTTTCTTTCATAGAATCTCTACAGTGCAGAAGCAGGCCATTCGGCCCATTGATTTCACACCAAACCTCTGAAAACCATTCCACCCAGACCCACCCCACTACCCTATCCCTGCATTTCCCACCCTATACACTACAGGCAATTTATCATGGCCAATCCACCTAACTTGCACATCTTTGGACTGTGGGAGGAAACTGGGGCACCCAGAGTAAACCCACGCAGACACAGGGAGAATGTGCAAGCACCACATAGACAGTCGCCTGAGGGTGGAATTGAACCCGGGTCCCTGGTAATGTGAGGCAGCAGTGCTAACCACTGTGCCACCATACTGCCCTCAGGAAATTGCGAATTGCATCTGTGCCTCGAACACACAGTCTCCTGATTCCCTAGTCAGGCACGTTATCCATTGCGCCACCGATGCATTACCTCTCATTTCTCTGCATTGAAATTCATTTGCCAGGTGTCTGTCCATTTGGCCAACTTGTCAATGTCCATCTGAAGTCAGCCAGCATCATCCTCACAATTCACCATTGTCCCCAGTTTAGTATAATCTGCAAATTTAGAGATTTTTCCCTCAATACCCAACTCCAAATAACTTGTATGAATCAGAAAAAGAAAGGGCTCCAACACTGATCCTTGGGGAGCATTACTGTTGACTTGTCTCCAATCTGATAAATGCCCATCTATCCCTACCTTCTGTTTTCTGTCTTTTGGCCAGTATCTAATCCATTCTGCCAAGGATCTACCAATCCCAAACATTTCTAATTTGCTGTTGAACCTGCCATGTGACACCATATCACATGCTTTCTGAAAGTCCAAATATGAAATATCATCAGCAGTGTTCTGATCTACTGCCTGTGTCACCTCATCAAATAACTCAATTACATTTGTCAGATATGACCTGCCCTTAACAAAGCCATGTTGACTGTCTAGTCGTAACTTATTTTTCTCTCTAAGCATATATTTACTTTATCACGTATTTTTGTCTCCATCTGTTTTCCCACTATTGGTGTCAAGCTGATAGGTCTGTGGTTTCCTAGGTTATTCTTTGTCCCTTTCTTAAACAATGGTGTCATTATTCAATCCTCCAGTCCACTGATATTAATCCTGTGTTCAGAGAGCATGGAAAATTGCTACTTTAGTTTAGTTTGCTCCTTTAACTCTCTCAGCAATCTAGGATGCATCCCGTCTGGCCCTGGTGACTTCTCTACCTGGACTGCTGCCAGCCTTTTTAGCACCACTTCTTTAGCTTTCACTATACTGCTCAGTTGCTCAACAGCTGTTTTCAAATAGGCCATTGTCACCATCTTCCAATTTATCAAAGATAGAAGCAAAATATTCATTTAGTACCTCTGCCATATCCTTTGCTTCAGTATGCAGCTTACCCTGTTTGTTCCTTATGGGCCCCACTCTATCCTTCACTAATCTTTTTATATTAATATGCTTGAAGAACATTTCAATATTTGTTTTAGCAAGCCTGCCATCCTTTCCTCATGCTTCCTCTTAGCCTTTCTTATTCCAGCTTTCGCCTGTCTCCTGCGTTTGAGATACTCTTCCTGATTTCTTTTCCTATTATTATTCCAGTATGCATCAGGTGCCTCCTTTTTCTTCCTTATCTTCTCGTCAATATCCTTAGACATGCATGGTGCTCCAGTTTTGGATACCCTGTATTTATTTCTCATGGGTATGTACCTGGTTTGCACCCTATTCATCTCCCAGGATATCTGCATCATCCCTCTCCTTTGTGAAGACAGAGAAAAAATACGAAGTAAAAAACCTGCCTCCATCTTCTGCATCCACGTCCAACTTATCATGTACATCTCTGACAGGCCAACTCTTTCCTTAATCAATAATAAAAGCAAAAGTGTGCAGATGCTAGACACCTGAAACAAAAACAAAAAGTTCTTGGAAAAACTCAGCAGGTTTGGCAACATCTGTGAAGAGAAAAACAGAGTTTTTGAGTCTGTGACCCTTCATCAGTATTAAACAAAAGCTGGGAAAGGATGGTATTCATGCTAGGGGAAGTGAATAGAGTATATGGAGCTAGAGAGTGAAAAAAAAAGGACAGGTAAACAAAGAGATTGCTGACGATAACCAAGAGAGAGCTAAATGCTAGATAGGGTGCTAACAAGAAGTATAAATGTTTGGAGTCCCCCATATAAAACGGTCCGGAGGTGGGGGGATGGGGTCACAAACACAGAGAGGGTTTCCACGTTCTGAAATTGTTAAATTTAGTGTTGAGTCCTGAAGGCTGTAAGGTACCTCGGCAGAAAATGAGGTGTTATTGCTGCAGCTTGTGTTGAACATCACTGGAGCACTGCAGGAGGCCTGAGACAGAAATGGTGGTGTGAGAACATGATGGTGTGTTGAAGTGGCTAGCAACTTGGGGTCACTTTTACAGACTGCAAAGCGGTCACCCAGTCTGTGTTCGTGTCTCAGTGTAAAGGAGACCACATTGCGAGTAGCAAGTACTGTAGAATGGATTGAGTGAACTACAGCTAAATTGCTGCTTCATCTAGAAGGTGTGTCTGCACCTTGGATAACTAAGCTGGAGGAGATAAGCAGGTAAGTGTTACACCTTTTGTGATTACAGGAAAACGTGCCATGGGGTTATGGGGAGGTGTCGGTAGTGGATAAGGCGCAAACCAGGGAGTCCCAGAGAATATCATAGCATCATAAAATCCCGACAGAAAGTAGTCCCTGCAGAATGCTGACAAGGAAGGGGAGTGGAATGTGTGTCTGGTGGTGGCATCCTGCTGGAGGTGGCAGAAATACGCTTATGATGCTTTGGGTACAGAGGCTGGCGGGGCCCAGTTGGCATTGTGGGAGGGAAAAGAAGAGGTGAGGGCAGTTGGTCAGACATGGCTGACGGTTTTGTCAACCATCATTACGGACCAGACCAGATCCCCTCAAAATATATTAAGTAGGCCGCCTAGGCCCTAACATTTTCTTATTTCAAAGGTGAATGTGAGGTACTGTGTTCCAGATGCAATTTGATTGGTCAAACTACACGATATGAAGCAAAACATAATTCGTTCAAACACTATAGTTAAAATACAACAAAAGAAAGAGAACTTTGAAATAACTCCACTGGAAATCTTAACAGAATAATAGATTATTTTACTACTAAACAATAACTGTTCCAATAGAGTAACATCCCATAAACACACCCTTAGCAAAAGGCAAATTCAGAATGCTGATTGTTTGACATGCAACTCCCCCCAGCAGGCAGAGAACCCCAGCTTATGACTGTAACCAAGGGAGGGAAAGAATAGCTTTCACTTCCTCAAGACCACAATGGCAACTGCTGAAAGCTAAACTAAAGATCCCTGGTTCTGTGGGAGCTCAACTACCTCCATTCAGGCTGCTTCTATTGTTCCAACTTTAAAAAAAAAACCAAGGCCTCACAAGCTGTTTACT